TTTTATCTTTGCTTTTCGAGTTTTCCTACAATAAGGAGTCAACTCCTTGATGTTTACTCAACCGTTAGATGAAGACTACATCAAGATGGATGGCTAAGATCACTCTACAAAGAAGATGATGATAGACTTTTTACTCAAGGGAGATTTTATCTCTTCGCATGATAGGATTCTTTTTATGAGATTATCTCTTTGTATTTTGAGTTTCAATTAATTCTTACATAGTTTTAAACATCTTAAGACTAGTAAAAGTGTCTAGGTTTGTTATCTTATCACTTAAGATAACTGGGAATCTTTGGAGTTTGATTTGATTTCAAATTCTTAGAGATAGGAATAGAGTTAAAGAGTTGTGTTCTTCCTCTACTTTTTGCGTAGAAAATTCGGCCACCCCCTCCATAAATAGGGACTAAATTTCTCTTGTCCGACACACATTGTGTCATCGATATTTTCTGAGTGAAATCAAATTTGTTAGGATTTTATTCCTTTCGTGGAGTTCTTCTGAGGACTTCTTTGTTTAGTTGTTGCATATGTGTTGTGATAATTATTAGACTTATCTATCTTGTTTAGTTCACTCTATAGTGGCGTCTTTAGCATTGGATCTTTTGAATTTTGGTTCTTAAGCTCATAGATCTCATATCTATTGGGTTTTCCTTCACAATTTTCCAATGGGTCTTTGCTTGGTTAGAAATAGCTCTCTTCATTCTTGATTTGGGTTGTTCTACCATTGAACTCGTGAATTGATCCACATGAGGTCAAATATCTTTTCTTTGTTTGTTTTGGTGTGTTTTTGTGTCTTTAGTTATCCAAATTCTCTAAATTCTGCGGCCTACAAATCTCTGTCTTTCCGAATTAGCAAAGTTGATCTTTCATTAAGATTGGTTTTGTCACGGATTGCTATCAAGGAACTAAGTCCAATTCTTGCTTTCCTAGCTTCCGCACTGTGGAGGAAGGCATAATATTCATAGCCGCGCCATTATCGACTAATATCCTGTTAATAGGGACACCGTCTAGCAAGGCCTGCACATACAGCGGCTTCACGTGATTAGTAGACATCGAATCTGGTATGGAGATGATTACTGCTGGCAAAGTCCCATCAGTTGTTATCTTAATTCCCAATACTTCTTTCGACTGCCGATTAGCTTTTGGCACCACTGTTTTCTCTGGTTTATCAACCTTTACTTCAAGCAAAGATGCCATAGCTTGTCTAGCAGCATATTCTTTAAGCAGTACGTATACCATGTTGACATCCATACTATCATGCTTCTTGACTTGCCATTGGTTAGTCACTCGAGCCTGCTAACCATGCGCACCGTAAGGCGATTGCTCAAGCTCCCTCTTTTGCCTTAAATCCTGATATCTTCCCTCCCGTTGTCGCTGCCACCTTCAACGCTGAGTTCGAGTCATACCACTGCTTGTTGATACGGGAGTTGGAAATCTGGGGTGCTCTACTTGATGCCAAGAGTTATCAGAAACTTGATTGGGCCTCACCATAGCCGTTACACTACTCATAGGCGGCACAAATAGTTGGGCAGACCGTCCAAAGCTAACCCCCCGACTATGATCTGGCCATGACAACCTGTCTTTCACCGTCCTTGATTCAAATCTCTCATTACCAAATCCTTGGGTTGTGCATGGACCTAACCGCTCATGAATCAGTTGTCTTGGCATTACTCGGTCAGCATGTTGATCAGCACTCTTATTTGTCGGCCCTAAATGTTCAGCATGCCTACTCTGAACAACCTATGTTAAGGACGTTGCCACTTTGTGTTCATAACTCTCCAGTGACTCTTGCACCTGTGGTTTTCTTACCCAAGTTTGCAACTGTCCATCTATTTCAATGTTTATCTCTTCCTCTGTCCGCTGTGGAAGAATTTTCTGTTGATGCAAATGCCCGCCGTTTGCACTTCCTAATCGGCAAACTTCTTCCTTCATTGAATCCACCACTCGATCACAGTCTTGGCAACCAATACTTATTTTTTGTCTAGCTTAAGCGGCTACTCGAGGATCCACATTTATCATTCCCACTACATGATTCACCAGAAACAGTTCTATCATCACTGCTACTGGTTATTCCCCTTGGATATCTCCACTATCGATCATCTTCTGAATAACGTTCTGGAATACCATGCAATCATTGGTCCCATGGGTCATGGACATGTCATATTTGCTGAAGGTCTTTCCCTCAATATCGGCAGGTTTTGGCTATCTCTGCCCCTTCCAATAAGTCACATGGCCAGTTTTCAACATTTCTTCAAAAATCGCCTCCTACTGGGTAATATCGAACGAATAAGTTCGTCCCGGATTATTAGGCTCAGCACGTGGTTTCGCCCCAGTGGCCGTTCCCGGTCCTGGTGGTATACCATATGCTTGTGGAGTGCTAGGTTTTCTCAAAGCGCTACATTTATATCCCTTCATGTTTATTATCTCAGCCGCATTGATGTCCTCAAAATCCTCTTTTTCCTCCAAACCAAAATATTGAGCCTGGTTCACCGCTGGTTGATTAGGAGGATTGAACCATTATCTATCGCGACCTTTGCGGCTTTCGACTTCTTCCACGATTACCTTGTCTAGTTGTCGTATTACTTCAGCCAATTCTCCTAAATTCAAAAAACTTCTTCCTGTCAATCCAAACTTCAATCGGAAGTTGGTCACGCCGGCAATATCCATGATAATGATGGTTTGCTCTGGGTAATTGCTGGGTATCGTGGCTCTCATCTGCCTAAACCTTAACAAATATTGTTCCCCCGTTTTAGCAGGCTTCTATATGACATCATGCAAATCCACAATAGTACGCTCTAGTTTGCTCACACAGAAATTTTGCAAGAATAACTCCTTTTGAGCTTCCCAGCTAGCCACTGATCCAGGTCTCAACGTTCAATACCACTCCAATTCCGTACCTGTCAAAGATTGTGGAAACAGTCGCAGCTTATGAAATTCATTATTTACCAACTGCCCGCACTCTAATTCATACATCCATATATGATGCTCTGGTCTTCTACTATCATCGCCAGAGAACTTGGTAAAGGTTGGCATCTTGAAGTTCCGGGGAAAAGGTTCTAAATCAACCAAATCCGCATATGGTTTCTCTGGTACCTCTGGAATCTTAAATCCTAAGTCTTGGTGTATTACTTCTGACATCAAATGGCGTAACTCGATCTGATTAGCTGTCAACACAAGGTTAGAGTTGGTAGGCGGCACTTGTCCTGCGCCAACCGTTTGTTGCCCCACATTTTCTGTTGGACTGGCCCCCTGAGCCATCGGTGTCTGGTTCCCCGTTGGATTATTATTAGCATATGCTGCCGTCTGATTGAGCACCGGTTCCCAAGGCTGATTTTGTCCTGCATTAGGTGGCGGCCCTTGATGTGTTAACGGAACTCTTGTAGCCTGAGATCCATTCCCACTTGTGCTTGCCGATAGGTTAATCACTGATACCAACTGTAGGTGATGATTAGGGAGTTCCAACACTTGGAAGTACTGAAGTTATCCTTGTTGGTTAGCCATAGTAACATACTGTGGCTAACTCCCAATCGGCCCCTGAGTTAGCATTGTAGGGATGTTGTTGTTTTGGGCCGTATTGGAGCCTGCGGCAGCGATTCTGGCAGCTACCTCCCAATTCCTATTTTGCTCATGTTCTATGCCGATCCACAATCAGTTCTCCTGTACTTCTTCCCTTGTAGGACAAGGCGGCATTGCCAGCAGCTACCGATTGTTGCTCTGCCGGCTGCTGGGTCTGCTGATTGATCGACGCTGACTCTGTTATTGGTGCAGTAGTTGATGTTGTTTGCAGAGCTGCAGGGGGAATCACTCCTTAGAAAATCTTACGTGGAGTCATTGGCCCATAGCTCCCATCAGGCAATCGGTCTTGTATCCAAAAACGTTTCTTGCGCATATATCTGTTGACCACCTTCGGCTATCTTTGACTGTCCAAAGTACTATTGCCTGGGGTTATCCCCTGCGTAGCTATTGCTGCCGAGTATGGCTGGCATTGGTCGGAGATTGGTGGGGCTAACCTGCCGGCAAAAGTGAAGTTTCCATATGGAGGGACAAACGCTGGCTGGCTAGTTATCACCTTCTCGTACCAGCTTTCGGGAATCTGTTCAGAACTCTGCGTTTCACCTGGCACCTGAGAAAATGTTCCTGTCGTTGGACGTGATGATCCCGGAGTGTCATGACCCAAAAAGTGCAAAGGATTCACACTAAAGTGTTCCGGCATCTCACTTATTCGCTTCTCTTGCCCTAAAATACTCGGTGTAACTGGCCACTGTCCTGAAGCTTTGATGGTGTTCAATTCTACTTGCATCGAATTCACTCGTTCAACCAATATTGCCATGGCGCTCATCACCTTTTTACTAAACACTGACTCGCTGGTATATGTTTCTCTAGGTGAACCATCGGGAGTCAATCTGCTTAGAGATTGAGCCGACGCCGGTGCCGAGGTAGCCGTGCTCACTGATGGTTGCGGCGGCTCTAAGGGTATCACCTCCGTCGCGGTTGCGGAAGCCATCCCTATTTAGTTAGCACAAAGTTGTATGGTCCTACCCGGAGTACCAAAAATATGTTTGCACAATTTTCGCCCTAGAAGAATTATACAATATATATCTCAAACGATTGTGCGTTGTTTTTTAAAAATTGTGCTAATGAACTGAAAACAAGAATTTCAGGAATTAAGAATCGGCCGTAGGCCAGATTTTATTATAATCTTTGAAGAACAAGTACAGCCGCCGATAATCGGTCTAATTCAAGGAGTTCCTGGCGAACCCTAGCTTTTGGAGATAAAATCGGAAATAAAGACTGAAAATTTAAAAGAAGTAATCTGATGCTAATTTGATTGTGTCCATCCTCCTACCGCCGATCCCTTTAAACAGTCTTCAAATCTCAGTCGCTTCACAATTCTAAACCAATACCAATTAGTCTTCCTTCTTCGCGGACTCTACACTTTCGCAAAGCCTACACCGTGGCCCATTGCTTTAATCTGATCCGGCCCAATCGTTCACCGAGTCTTTCTAAGCCCGGCTAGAAAAAACTGGCCCAACAATATTATAATAATTCTGAAATTGTGAGTTTCAATTTGTTAGTTCAATTCTTGTTTGATTTTTTAGAGGAGAAGTAGACTAGTGTCCACATAAGTATCATCAACTCAAAATTTCAACTTTTATATTTTTTCTAATCATTTTTCTCTCTTTTTATACGAAATCAACAATTTGTATAAGTATCGACAAAATCAATAGGATCTACGATCCGTATTAGAATTCTGAAGGATTAGATAAGATCCCACTACAAAGAAGGATTTTATAAAATCCATGATCAATTTCCTGATTTTGGATCGCTGGATCGTAAAATTTTAAGATCTGGATCAGAATTTTGAAAACCTTGCCTCATACATTATTTTGTTTCTTACCTTCCAAAACTCGCATAAAAGGACGATTGGAATAACCTTGATAATGGACCTTAGGGTCGTGGAGAAACTTCGTTTTGACCACCATTCCCTGGGAAAAAAAAAACCATAAATAATTAGAATTTTGCATCACTATATTCAATAGAGTAGCAAAGTACCTCCAAATTGCTTTCACTGCCAGACAGGTCAAGAAGAAATGTGGTATTGACTCGCCATGCATTCTGCACATACAACATATATTAAAGGATTAGAATAAAAAGCAAGCAAGTAAATGATCTCAGAAAAAAGGAAGCAATTTATTCAACAATTTCCACATATAAAAGGATATGCATGGTTAGGTTCTAGAAATGATGAAAGTCAGAAGTTTAATCACGCAGCGCTCTAAATGCCTCATAAGCCAATTTGATAGTGAAAATTATGAACGTCTGCCATACTAATACATCATGCCCATCCGAGAAGCTGAGTTCAAGATTTGCCAGATACGCCGAAGGCTGCCATATTAATACATCAGGTTCATTCACAATCATCTGATCATTTGTGTTTGAGGGATTTTTGTCCCTTTTACCACGATTCCAGATTGTACTTTTTCTGCTCGAACATATACAAACAGGGCTAGTTCTTCAATCAAAAAAATTCCCTTCGCTACCAAAAAGCATAAAGGAAAAGATTAGGGTCTAGGAATGTAAATATTCTATTTATTACGAAAATATAGAAAGCACAGTACAAAATGAGAGTGGCACATCATTATTCATTCCACCACGATTGAATTGCCCAACAATAATCATGGACCTGGAGACTGTAAAACGATATCTGGAAAAAGAAGGAGGCCCTTATGAATCCGAAGTGGATTCTTTCCCTCAAAGATTCTTCGAGCCTTTTGTAATTCAAGGCCTCAAAGTTGACCATATTGAACGGGGTCGCGTTGTTTGTTCTTTCACCGTTCCTCCTCGCTTACTGGTACTATATATCTTCTCCAATTCCCTTGGATAATTTTTCAAATTCGTCCTCAAAATGTGAAAATTGGGCTGTTTAAGGTTTCCCTTTTGACAGAAATGAAAAATGGTTTCGTCTGGTTGTTGGTGATGTAGAATACTGGGAATTCCTTACATGGCGGCGCCACCGCTACTCTGGTGGACTTAGTGGGTTCAGCTGTTGTGTACTCAATTGGGGCTCCGGCTACTGGGGTTTCTGTTGAGATAAATGTTTCCTACTTAGATGGTGCCTACGTTGGTGTAAGCATACTTTGATCACTGTGCTTGTTCAATTTTATTCCAGCCCTCATTTGTTGTGGATATTGAATGATCCTTAGATGTTTTGGTAAATTAGTGAGAAGGGTTTTCTTTGAATTAGATTGTTAAATAGCATCATATACGTAGGATCGATGGTAGGATTTTGCCATGAGACTCCTTCATCCTTTTTGAGCTTGAGTCAATAATTTACTCAACGTTCTACTGTCCAATTGAATTAGGTCTCTGGCTACTCAACTGAAAGAAATATACAGGGTTGACACTATGCCCGTCCGTCGTGGCAAATAAACCTGTGACACCAGAGATTGAAATTCCCCGGGGGTTATGAATGAATGCAAAAAGTAATTGCAGACTCTTTGCTTAGGATTCAGAAATAAGAAAATCCTAGTGAAAACATATTTTTTTTAGGCGTATCTCGGTCTGGTATATTGGAGAATTTTGCTCTGGTTAACATCAAACCCAGGGGAAGTAGAGTAACTAATTATACAACTTGCAAGTGATTCGGTAGAAAAGAAATAGATCAGAGTTATTAAAAAGATTTGAGCATTAGATAATGATGCCAAAACGGGGTTTGACAACTTCAAGTTTTGCACCTTAGCATGAACTTCAAGCATAAGGATGTTAGTTGATGTTTATAGTTTGGATAAGTGTTTGATAGCTCGTCAATTAAGTGGTTACTTTGTACTTCTTTCAAATATTGTAACCAGCCCCTAGATAAGAGATGATATGAAGTCACAGCTTGCTAGTACTTCAAATTTATAGCAATTTTCATCTAGAGGCTCTGTTGGAGGGTTCAATGTAGTAGAGATAGACAGATGCCATTTCAGGTGAAGCTAACACTTGGGCTGATGAAAATGACTTGCAATGCACAAGGAAATGTCTTCCAATGAGAATGTTTAGTTAGAAAACATAAATATTTAAATCCCTTATTTTTCAGTTTTTGGATTTTCCTAATTTGGTACCAGTGATTTGGTATTTTGTATAAAATACTAAACTTTTGAGATTCGTTCAAGAATCTACATGTAATGTTGTCTTCTAGATAAGCTGATGTTAAAGTCTTCCCTGCTATTTGTCTCATTCCAGCCTGAGTTCTACACTGTTCTTAAGACCCATGAGAACTTTTTTATGTTATCACAAGAAGACTGCATAACAGTTTTAGTATCACAGGGTAAAACCATTTCTGAACTGTTTGGGTACAACAGACTGAACAGAATTTAAAAGTAAGTTCAGGGAAAGAATTTTAATTCTTTTATCCGATAAAAAGATTTTTTTTTTTTTAATGTCAGGGCCAACCATTTTTTAACTGTTCGAGATTACTGCGTAGCTTACTGGGAAAACTTTTTTCACTATGTTAAATTCACAAAGCTCTATTCTTGTACCTGTGCAAACTTATGAAGTTAACACTATTGGCATAGCCTAAGTACATGTTTCCTTTGAAAAAACAAATGACTCCATGAACACTGAAGAGCAGCTCTTATGTACTCGGCTATGATGTTAATGCATCACGTTTTGCAGCTATTTCACATCTCAGACTTTCATTTGTATTTGGTAACAAATTCAGCAGGACCCACAGAAATCTTAATGGACTTCATAGCTTCTGTTGTGCACACTTCGGCTTTGCAGTTGCATTTTTATCTGTTGCATTCTGATAATAGATGGGGTTGACCTTAATCAATAACATTCATACAGAAGTCACGACATCACCCCTAACAGCCTTGTCTTTTCTTAGAATGAAACCATATAAAATAAACAGCCTTTGGTGTTCGATACTTCAATTTAGCGCTTGCCTTAATTTTATTTTTTTTAATCCATAGTTTCCATTTTTATCTTGTTCCGTAGCTAGTCATACAGAAGTTAATGCGTAAGTATGCCTCTAGAGGCCTTGTCATTATTTAGCATCAAATAATGATCGAACTGTGATGAAGGTGCAGTGTTCCTTGAGTAAATGTGACAAAAGGCAAATTCATACACCAACCAAAATTCTATTTGTTTCGATAGAACATATGATTGGTGGCTCCTTTTCTGATTTAACAAAAGGGAATAGGGAAACCCAGATTTCTGCAATCTTGTCATTTTGAGTTCAGTAAAATTTTATTGGGAATTCCATCCTAATAAGAGACAGTGTGAGGTGCTGTATTGTTTTCTTTTAACCTATGCACACATTGAAGCGAGATGCCTCAGGTTTGTTCTGCCAGAGTTGAATTAGTTGGTCTTAGTATTGTTGTTATATAAATTCTCTGAAACTTCTGATTTAATGCTTAATGTGAAAGGACTTGGTTTATGTAACTTTAAGCATCCCTGTCAATTTCCTATGTCATTGAACCAATGCGTAATGCAACAGTGAATGTGGTTTGGATTTGTGGTGGTTACTAAACATGGCAGGGTAGCACATCGGGCTGGCTTTTTGTCTTTCTTCAAATTTGATGGTTCTTTGGAACTTGTGTTGATGAGCTTCGCATATTCTAATTTTGCGACCCAAGTTTAAGCAAGAAAATTGGGTGTTAACCTCTCATGTCAGACGAGCTGAGTTAATGTTCATTCTAAAGCAGACTTCCCAATAATATTAATGATAGGATTTTGTTACTGATCTCTTTTTATAGCCACGAGAGTGGTGTCTTTTCTGCCTATATTGGTCAAACATTCTTGTTTATGAGGTTTGTTGATGATTTTCTACATATTGAGTCTCGCAAAACTAAAGGAGGAAGTACATTCATCATATACTGTTAAAGCAGCTTTCTTCCTCCTTAACTTCGAGTCTATCCTTTCTTATTTTTCTTTTTAGCAAATTAAATATATTTCATTCACCCTTAGTTTGGTTAATCGTTATTACATGTTTCAGTCTTCCTGTTTAACCATTCCAAGAACTTTTTTTAGCTAAGATAGAAAGCATAAGTGCTCGATATTTCCTGATTCTGAATTTTAAAGATTTTTCGTTTCTCTTGCTTAGAGAATCTTATTGTGTCTGTTGCAGGATGAGATAGAGGTGGAAGCAAAGGCATTGCGTATTGGAAAGGCAATTGCAGTTGTTAATGTCGAGTTGAGGAAGAAAAACTCGGGAAAAGTTATTGCTCAGGGTCGTCATACGAAGTACCTAGCTGTATCGAGTAAGTTGTGAATGACCTGTTCTTAAGGAGTTTATACAAAACCTAGGTCACATCGGGTTCTTAATGTGAATGAAATATCATTTCTATGTACACATTCCAGTTCAGAAAAGATCTTCAGCATATTGAGTGGCGGGTGATGATTGAAAAATCATATGTAAACAGAACTTCCATGATCATTTCTGCTCTGTTTCTAATGATCCAGATATTTTATTTGCAGTATTACCTGTGTTCATTACATGGTCGTCTTATTATTCATCAGGTGACTCACCGTCCTCTTCTTTGTTTAAGAAAATTGGATAAATTAGTTAACGATTTAGTTCAAATTTTTATGTTGATGTTCCATGATTGTTTGTGTAATTCTTAAGCAACATTGGTTGCATTTGCTTTTCCTACTCCAATCTAGTGATGTTGATACACACAAAATCATCAAAAATTTTTATGTTGATGTTGCTTATCTCAACGCGACTCTATTTTGCGCAACAAACTCACACCATAAACCCAAAAATAAAGGATGGAAAAAAGAAGAACAGGAAAGATACTCCCTCCAAATTTACAGTACATTTTTTATTTTCCATTATGATAATTTGTTCTAAAATTACTGTTCAGTTTCTATTTTTCATCATAATATAATTTGTACTAAAAGTGAAATCTAAAGTGGATAACGATATGGAGGGAGTAAAAGAAAGAAATTTCCGTGGGAAATTTGGTGCTCCATTGGAGCAGAAGAAACACCATTGGAGCAGAAATTTGGTGCTCCATTGGAGCAGAAGAAACACCATTGGAGCAGAAATACAGCAAATCCACCAGTAATTTGCAGATTTGGTACAACGCTGCAGATGCTTTGAGACGTCAAAGTAGTTACTTTTTTCTGATTTTCTTTTTTTTTGTAAAAAATATATCTAATGGTATGGAATGCTATTTTGAAATTAAACAGGAAACCTATAATTACATCTTTTGCTTCTGAAAAAATAGATAAAAATGCAAGACTATACTGTATTTAAAATATATATAAAAAAAACAAGTGTTAAATATCAGTAACATGACATTACACTTTTTAAATGATGAAAAAGTAACATTTAAAAGAAAATGCCGATGTTAAAAGACTGTAGCTAACATTCGGGAAAAATTGGTGTTATGCATATGGGGTGTCAAGTGTGAACTGTGAAGGAGGGACAGAAAACAGACAGCTTTTTATGGTGCGAATGAGAATCACGCGAATCATTATAGAAATTTGTCGTTTTCCAGATCCCCTAATGAAATTTCTGTATGTGGAGTTAGCTTAGAGTTCCAGATTTGAATAATGTAATGATTTGGAGATGGGACGAGACGAGACGATGACTCGCTCGCGGCTTTTTCCAGCATTAATCTAGTCAAAGCCCATCTTTGTGTTAAATCAAGCAGAGAGTGATAACCAAAAAAACACGACAAGTAAATCAACAAATATGAATTTGAATCAAGTGAAGGATTCCCTCGAAAAATCTGAAGAAAATGATTCAGTTGAGGGTCAACAATCGAACACTATTAATTCTTTACCTCACAGATTCTTCGAGCCCTTTATCATGCAAGGCATCAAATTGGATATTCTTGAACCTGGTCGAATTCTTTGCTCCTTCACTGTCCCTCCTCGTCTTGTGGATGTTGGTCTCTCTTCTGTGTTTTTTTTTCCCCTTTTTTTTTTTTTTTTGGTAAACTTTTCCCCTCTTTCATCATTACAGATTTGACTTCTTTTCTGGGCTTCATTCTGTAAAAGGTGGTGCTAATTTGTGTTTTTATCTTTTGGGTTTTTGTGGGTTTGAAGAGTAAAGCTGGGAATTCAATGCATCATGGAGCTATAGCAACACTTGTGGATTGGGTGGGTGCCTCTGTGGTTTACACTGTAGGAGCTTCAGCAAGTGGTGTTTCTGTGGAAATCAATACTTCTTTTTATGATCCTACCTACCTCGGTGTAAGAATTCTTCAGCCCCTTTTCTGTTTTCTCTTTTATTGGTTCAATAAAGTTGATGGGTTAGATGTTAACAGAATTATGTATGGAGGTTATGCCAAGTACTGGATAGGAAAATGTAACTTTTCCTCTTAGTTTTAGTACTTTGAGGTTGAACACTGGTGAATCCACTGGGTTGCATTTAACTTTGTGTTTCTACTTCTATTTATCTGTTCTCTCCTTTTATTGGTTGGGTGGTTTTGATATTAATTGGGAAATAAGATTACTAGTTCTTGAGCTCTAGTTACAGAGACAAGAAACGGAAATAAAGTAGGAACTGAGAAAAGAAGTCAAATCTGTGGCTGTTTTTTACATTTAATCACTGTACTTCTTACCCATAGTTGGAGCATGCCTTTGTTCGGAAAAAAGTAGTCCACTTTTTTGAACTGTTAATCCAACAGTTCAATAGAGTGGACAAATTGTTATGGATGGAGGGGTTATTAAAAGATTTGCAGCACAAAAATGACTACTTTTCCCCTTGCTGTTTGTCTTTGAACCATGTGAATCTGAGGATTTTTTTATGCTTTTGGCTTTTGCTGTGTGGGTTGAGATTTTTTTTCAAGTTACAAAGGGAACCATGTTGAGTTTGAGACGTAACTTCTTCAAATAGTTGGTACAGAAATAGAGGCTCTTTATTTTTCTATGAAAAGTCTGGTTTGAGATAGATTAGGATGAATTACATACAGAATGAGATAAGTTACACCTAAGGAATTCTTTTATCTGCAATTTGCATTTTGTGCCTTTGTCTCAACTACTCGCAAGGTCTCCTCCTTGCAACTGTAAAGGTAGGTGCTGAGATACCAATTCTTTCCTATTCTGGGTATTAGGAAACAAATTTGAAGATTCTCAACGCTGCTCTTCTCATGCTATGAACTGATGGACTGAGAAGTTCAGAATGGTAGATCTCTTAAAATTGTGACATGTCAATGTCTCAAACAATATATGTTCCAGATTTACCATTATATTTGTGGACTGATTTGTTGGCCAATTCTTCTGGCACTGCTATAAAAAATCCTAGAACACGGTGAAGGCTCTTCATTGCTGTAAGAGGCAGATCTGTCAAGGCCATTAGTCGTAATTATCTCTTTCTAGCTTTGTGCCAGTGTATCTGATTTGCTTAGTACATGAAATTGAGTTTTAAGAACCCTAGTTCTGTCAGTATGGCCTTTGTTTATGCATTTGCAAACATATTAAGTCAAAATTTTATTGCCATTTCTGTTTATATCTGGTGTGATAATCATTAGTTCTGTGAGTTAGTACGACTAAAAATTTATCTGGATTGTAGGTAACCTACTTCAAAGAATGTATCAGGGTTATTGCTCTCACAGATAGAGCAAGATGCTCCTATCTCTGCTTTTAACCATAGACCAAACTGGTCCTACACTAGTGTCAAAGGTAAAAAAGCAATTGGCATTTCGATGTTTGGCCACACGAAAGGTAGGGAAACCAGCTAATGTTCAAATTTACATAGCTGGTGAGAGGCATCCTCGTTTAATTTCTATCACTTGATCTATCTTGGTTTCTGGAGAGGAATAGAGAAGACAGATCAGGTACAAGATTACAAGAGGTGACAAATGACGGCACACTTCTGGTCCTTTATTGTTAATAGTTATTATCAATAAGTTCCATTAGCCTAATGATGAAATAATTTTTTAGAGTTTGTGAGGTTCTGTATGCAATAGGTTCTGTACGCAATAGTTGAAACGAAATAAGTTTTAGAGTTTTACCCTGCATGAAGTTCGCACAAACGTTGATTGTGTTACTTTGTTCTGCTTATTGTTTCTTTCTGCACATTTATCAATAGTACTCAACTTTTGTATCACATCGAAAGCCTTTAAAAAGGCCACATTGTTTTCAGTTCGTGTTTTCATCTTCCTAGAAGCAGCTTTAATGAATTGCCATCTCTGTCCCATTTCCTTTGTTGCAGGAGGAGATTGACATTGATGCTACCGCATTACTTGTTGGAAAAGTAATTGGCATTGTTAATGTCGAATTGAGGAACAAAAAAACTGGAAAGTTAATAGCGCGAGGACGACACACAATGTACATGGCTGTCCCCAGTAAGCTGTGAGTTTTTACCTCCCAAAAGCAATTATGTTACTGAGGTAAACAAGCCACTGAAGCAAAGTCCCAAGAAATGGTGCTCTTTGGTTTGTATGATCATGATCATTTTTTTCTGTTGGGAGTATTGGAAGATGTTCTGCCCATCGCATTCTTTCACTCTGTAGAGTTGTGTATTATCATAATGAGAATTTTTCTGACACACAAGTTAGCTTAACTCAAAATTTCACTAAACCAGTGTAGGAATATCATTTTTCTCAGTTCGCCTTTGTGATAAGTAATAACTAACAAGAGTATCCTTCAAAAAAAGACGAGAGTAGCTCTCAATCTCATCGCAAAACTTCAACTTTATAAGAAATAATGAAATTCTAGAGTACGAGAGTTGACAAGTATACGGTGGCAAAAAGGGAACTTGGGGGCAAAAGAGGGAGTGGGTTAGTTCTTAATCATAATTTACTAACATTAAGATGCTCAGCCTATCTTGTTGGTATCAGCAGCTATCAGAAGGCAGAAAGGGGGAAGGCACATATCCCTAATCTTTTAATTATAAACACTATAAAGACTGGTGGCTCTTCGTAGAAGAAACCGAATAGTGTAAAGGGTCAACTTGGTAGAACTCCTAAGGCTTCTCCCAATTTTAGAGTATTTCTCATGGTTCTCCTGCCTACTCCTCCATTCCCTTTTCTCATCATTGCAGCAAATTCTCCATAATCAATTTGCCCATCCTGCAAAAGATAAGTATTTATTAAAGACATGAAGCAGGAACGGAGATTTGGTCATTTATGTAAACATGCTTCTTTTCTGGTACATAGATGAAGTGATAAATTACTTAAAAAGAAAAACAACATCCCAATGGCATCAAGTATATCAAATGATGCAAAGGTCGAAAGGGTCGGAAATGAAGTGTCAGCTCAATTTTTAAAGGAACCTCATGAGGATATAAATTTGGTACAATCTGAACTCTGAAGCAAGTCAGAGTCAAAAAGTAGCTTCAGTATGCATCCATGAAGCTAATGTTTCCCCTATTCCATTAAACTGAGACAAATAATTCCATAATTTGGGGAGTAAACACCAATTCAATGTTGCTCAACACTACCAACTTAGTTCTTAAACAAAGTCATTGCAAAGAAAGTTCAGATTCACTTTGCTAATCTTTTAATGGAAGGGCTAATTCTCAGAGCATGTTGGTGACAGACCTTTTCATTTCAGCAATTTATGCGTACTTCTCAACCAATAAACCTCACATCAAACAACTTTTAACTTCTACAGCTTTTTTTCACTAATCAACCGGAAAGATAACTGCAAGGGTCCAAGGTTATCAGCAATACAGGTAATATGTTTTCTTAGGTAAATGAATACTCAGATGTGAACTCATACACAGATTTAATTGAATAAATAAACCAAACAAATTACTGGTCCAGCCACTGGCAGCAATCGCAAGTAAGGCTCTTTGCTTCTCTTGTTCCCTAAGCACTGAATGGCAAATATGTACAAGAAAAAGTACAGAACTTACATTATCTTGATCAATTTCTTTAATCATATCATCAAGGTGGAGTTCACTTAATCCGAAGTCCTTGCAGGCCTGCTGAAGCTCATCAATGGTTATGTATCCACTACCATCTTTGTCGAAGAAAGAGAAGGCCGATACTAGGTTCTCCTCTCTTTCCAGCTTATTCAAGTGCACAGTTGCAGCAAGAAACTCCCCATAGTCAATTGTTCCACTGTTGTCAATATCCGCCTATCAAACATCCCACACATACTCATATGGTGAAAACAAAATTGTGCAAGCAGTACATATACAAAGAAAACACATGCATTTTTTGTTGTTGTAGGATGACAGAAATTAGGCATTTAAGGCCCATTCTTACTGCTTCCATGAGATCCTTGATCTCAGACTCCATTAATTCCGAACCTACTCGCCTTAGACCTTCTTTCAACTCATCAAAAGTTATAGTACCACTATTGTCTGTATCTATCATTCTGAATAATTCCTTAAGACCACCAATTTCCTCTTCTGATAGTCGCTCGGCAATAACCTGTGACAGAAAGATAAATGACAATAAGCATATTTCGCGGAAAAGCCAAAAGCTTGGCTCATGGGACAATATAACATAAGAGATGCTGCATTAACACCAAAACAGCAAACGCGTCTACAGTGCATTAAAGGTGGAAAGAATGCATTTTATCTTTACTATTGCACAATTTAAATGGTTAAAATTGATATTAAAAATATGGGATACAGACTAAGGTTATCAATGCACAAGAGAGAGGGGGCCGGGGGGCTGGTGGTGGGGTGAGATATTTCAATTTAGAATAGAAGTTCCTGTCTCCAAGAAGACAAAAACTTACTCGCAAAGCCATCTTCTTCAGTTTGTTCATTGCAGAGAACTGCTTAAGGCGGGACAGAACAGCAGAATCAAGAGGTTTATCTGGGGCCATGTTATCATCAACAATCCATGGATGGCCTGCCAAGTGTAAGCTCATCAAATTATGTTAGAAAATAAATAATAAAGACACTGAGATGTTTAAAATATGGAAAAAAGGAAAAAACAAACTTGCTACAAGCCTACAATCACTTACATAGAACTTCGTGGGCCGTTAACCTTTTCTTTGGGTTTCTCTCTAGCATTTTTCGTATCAAATCTTTGGCTGTATCGGAAATGAAAGGCCATGGTTCTGAATCAAAATCAAGTTTTCCCTGCAGTATCTGGCGGAAGATCCCCATCTCAGTTTCTGCAACCAGAAGCAGGGAGGTTATGTTCGACTAAAATTTAAAAAATTTTTAAAGCAAGAACAAAGAAATCAAAGTAGTTACCTGCCCAGAAAGGGGGGAGACCACTAAGTAAAATGTACAATATCACTCCCGCACTCCATACATCCGACTCAGGTCCATAGAACCTACGCAAAACCTCTGGTGCGACATAGTATGGACTTCCAACTACATCAGAAAACATTTCACCTGAATATTGCAATCAAAATAAAATCAATGTCAGAATCCTAGAGATGGAGAAGATAACATACAATATTTCGAAAAGAAAAAGGGGAGGTATCAATTTAATGATTACAAAGAAAAACTTTCTTAGTGCATTAGTTAAACCAAAAATGGATCCAACATCTCTGTATTTCGCAAGCTATTTAAAGGAGGAAGGAAGAGTTAATATTTCAACTTTGTCAAAATAGTATCGAATATCAATTCAGAAATGGCGGCAACTATTGAAGCCTCTGAAAGAACAGCCACATAAAGGATCACGGGATATCCAGAATATTTATATTGAGTAAATGGAAATCAGTTGTTGTGCTTGAATCAACATAAGGGTCAGAGAGGCAGGCATTCCACACGAAACTTAAAAGTAAATTTTTCCTCATTTTATAGGGGAATACCAAATCAAAGCCAACATAAGACACCAGCATGTTTTCACATTTACTCCAAGTTTACAAAGAGCTGAAAGTTCCAGAGCTTATGTTTTTGGAGAGCCTCTACACTTTCACTGTAAGACTCCAAGATGCAAGTACACTGCATCCCCTCATTTAGACAAATCTGTCCTTAAATTGATCTCAAATTCAAGTCCCAACGAGAAATTAAGATTTCTTTCAGGTACATGGAATAACGTCAATAGAGATCAAGACTTTTCAGTGGCAGCCGGCAATACCACTCTAGGGCCAGGGCGTCTTGAATCAGGTAAGTGTATCTTTGGAGATTGAAATTTATTTATAGTCCAGCATTAGGCCTTAGAATATGATCTAATGGCTACAACCTCTCAAGAAATAATCAAAACCAGATCTCGTCAACCTGCAAGCAAGTTGGCTCCCAGAAAGATTTTTGGCTTTCACCTTCTTACAATTGTCAATGCCACTAAACTGTTAAATTGCTTACTCCATAGAAATCCTTCACCCTGAATTCTTGTGTTCGATACCCAAAAATTTAAATGCAATTTACTAGCAATAAGCAATTAAAATAGGACAAGATCATTTTGAGGTTATCTCATATTGGCTTTGTGCTATTTCTGCGTTAAACCAACTTTACTTGTTTTGCCAACTTATCACCACATTTCACTAGATTCCTACACCTCGACAAGAAAAATCAAAACATATATCTTCATTGCACCCCTTGGTCCTTAGTCTCTAATGTTTGGGTCTTTTCCATCAGGAAGAAAAAGCTCCCATCACTACTTGAAGCTTCCGTGTAAGTACACCTAGTTTTTGCCAAACAGTTAAGTAGCAGAAATGTGTCAAAGAAGATCAGTAATAGTTATCCAGGTAAATGCTTCAGGAGAATCAAGCAATAAAACAAATATCGCCAGTTTAAGGGAAATAATTAGCAACACAGAATCTAGGTACTATGAGCCTTTCATTAACTAACCAATGGCTTTATCTTTCTAAGCGGAAACCAGGTAAGTAGCTTCAATCTTGCCTTCTGGGGAAGGGAAAGACAAGATCATGAAGCAGACAATTAGGAGAGTAGTGCCGGAAACCAATGAAATGCAAACCTTAAGAGGGTGAGCTGGAACTACAACAATTTTTGTTTTTGGCCTCAAGTCCGTTTCAGTTGGGTGTCATGAAGAAGAAATCTACTCCATTCAGTAAGAATATTTAACCAAGAGGAATTTGTTACTTTGAGGTGTGTACAGCTGCAACTCATATGGAAGAAAGATCAGGACTGATTCATACTTTAAAATATGACCAAAGGCTCCCCACAGATGTATAGTCGATGGAGGTTCAAAACGTGAAATGTAGCAATCTGACCTAGAGAACAGCAAACAGTCTTAAACGGTATCTTCATGTGCAATGTGATAAAAAAAAAAAAAAATTGACCGAATCCGTAAATGACAGATCTCTAAACCATCAACTCATATTTGATGCTAGCCATCTTCAGATCAGCGCCACATCAATTTTTCCAAAGACTTATGATAGCATTCAGTAAAATGTAATTTATTGACGAAGGAGCGTATCCAATATCAGTAGCAAGAGGTGTACTTGTAGAGAGACTACCCAGTGCGAGAATACAGGTAAGGAACAAATAAGTGAAAATTAAGACAAAACTAATGTACCCAGTTCTTGTTAAACTACAGCAACAACAATGTCAACCGATTGATTGTCTCATCCAGAGAAACACAAATAAGAAAAAAGAAGAAAGCAACATAGCCTGACAAAATACAGGGCAACAAGAGGAAAAGCCATCAAAGTTAAACTAATAAACCAAAACCTCAGCCATTTCCCCAAAACACAAAATACAGCAGAATGCACGTACAAGATCAAATACTTCAACGAAATACTTCAACGACAAATAACAGATGAATCGAATCCGGCCCCTTTTTTCAGAGAAACGAGGATTCAAGAATAAAAAAACTGAGTTATAACAACTCGAACAAAAGAACTAACCCGGCTGGTAAAACACGGAAAGACCGAAATCAGTAGCCTTGAGAGTAGCATCATCGTCGGCAGTAGTGAACAAGAAATTCTCAGGCTTGAGGTCTCGATGCATGACCCCGAGAGAATGGCAAGTCTCCACAACCTTAACTATAGTCTTGATCAATTTGGCAGCTTCTCTCTCACTGTAATGACCCTTGCGTACAATCCTATCAAAAAGCTCCCCACCAGCACACAGCTCCATCACAATATGAACACAAAGATAATCCTCATAAGTACCCTTTATTCTAACCACATTTGGGTGCTCAGAAAGATGGTGCATTATCTGAATCTCTCTCCACACATCATCATAGTCCTCTTTACAGATCAGCTTCTTCTTGGGTATAGACTTGCAGGCGTACTGTATCCCAGATGACTTCTCAGTCACCAAATGGGTTGTCCCAAATTGGCCTTGGCCTAACTTTTTACCTATACTGTAAAGGGACAGCAGAGGTTGGGTTTTCTGAGGAAGAACCCAACTGGGCTTCGACAGAAAGGTTGAACCTTGACTTCCTCCTCCTCCTCCTCCTCCTGCTGCTGCTGGCGCCGGAACTGCAAGTGCCGGTTTCTGTTCCGATGATTTGGGGTCCGATGGTGGCTCTGAAGACATTGTGGTGGCGATGGCGGAGGTTATGGCGGTGATCTACACTAAAACTGTTGTGAATCTTGGATTTTGATCGAAGGGGGTACAAAGGGGAGGAAAAGTAAACCAGACTTTTTCTTGGTACTGACAGTGGTGGTTTGTTTTATAGTCTTTTGGAAAATATTTCTTCCCATTTGGTTTTTTCTTTAATGAAATGAAATTATTACATTGAGCTACAATTTCTCTCCCCTGGATTTTTGGTAAAGATTTTTTTTTTTTTCCTCCCTCCTATTTCTTTCCTTTTGCCCATTTCTTCGGTTTTAAGGCTAGCGTTGAAAAAAATGCAATACGAAGTCAAAAAATTGCAGTACGTCATGTAAAAAGCGGTATCCCTTTTATATATATACTAGTGATGTCTGGTCGCGTAATGCGCGACCCTGGCCCAGTCTATCTGTAGATCTTAGAAATGTTTATATTTGAAAAAAATAAAATTTTGTATTTGGAGCGATATATTTTAGAAATTTTTGAAGGATTTAGAAATGTTTTATAAGTGTGATCATAGAAATATTTGTATTTTATAAAAAAAAAAAATAAATTGTATTTCGCCATGTATGTTTTAGAAATGTTTTATAAGTGTTACTTATTAAATATAAATAGCTTAATTGAATATATGTGTTGAAGTAAATGTTAGATAAAATATAAAAGTATCCTAATAAATTTAAATATTAGTAAGATGATTTATTGATGTTCTCCATTGGTCGTGCCAAATCAATACTTAGTTTTGGAGATTTTTAATAGCTTTGTAATAAGCTTCATCCGAAGGGTATACGCTTAAAACAAATTGACACTTTGTAACAAAAAACTTAATTGATCAATTCAATTTAAAAAACCACTCTAGTTGAATGAAACATAAAGAAAAAATTAAAAAAAAAAACGTGTCACGTAGAGTGCAAAGGGAGATTTAGTAATTTAGTTATGGTTAGACAAAAGGGCAATTTAGTATTTGCTACATGCCACATGACAATCATATGAGGTGTTTAAAAGGGAGGTTTTTGTTTCTAATATAGTAGGATATATATATATATATATTACTTTATTAAAGCAGAAGACATGAAGCTTATGTGGCAAGTACGTATGCATCTGTTTTGGCTCCAATGCACCATATTTCAGATTTCAGAAGTCTTTTTGCCACGTGTAAGTCTCTTTTAATTAGAAGCTATATAATTTTTTTAAAAAAAAAACACATGTTTTACTACAAATAAGGATCAGTTACATTTCAAACGAATGGATATATTAATTCAAATTCAAATGTCCAATCGTATAGTTTTGCAGGCTTAATATAAACAAAAAATAAAAATACCTAAATCCAGCAATTAAGAATAATGCCTTATAAACTAACTATTTATTATTCCCTTATAACTTCAGATTTATAGATATATTTTTTTAAGCCCCAAACCATAACATAAATGATATATACGCCAAATTAATTCCTCAAAAAATAGTAATTCAATTAGATTTTAATAAACTAGTAATTTAGAGGGGGCGCTCGGGCATCTGTCCGGGCCAAGCATCTAGTACTATTTATGGTCCTTATTTACATTTTAATGAGTACAATTTATTGAAAGTACCCATTTCTTCGGTTATTGTCGTAATATTTTTATGTGTGAGTTTTAAGGATATTATTTTTTAATCTTTACCAGGTTTTGTACGTGTGTTGCACGGATTGACATATAATTATTATTTTAGAGTGAACCTTAAAACATGTCATCAACCTTTAATGTATTTCCACTCTAGGTCATCAATTAAATTTATTTGTAACACAGGTTATCCTACTAAAGTTTTAATTCATTTCAGATTATTCTGTTAAATTTAGCCATGAAATCGTGACGGAACTTCATTTTTCACATGCGCTGCACGTGATTTCGGTCAAAGGGCAATTTCATCTTTTTTTTACGTTTGGCCACTGTTTTCTGGGCAGGATGAAGTCCTTCTTTCCCTCCACTTTGAGCATAATATATAGGGGAGCCAAAATCAGATCTGAGACCTCATTTTTTTCCTACTCATCATCTTAAATTTCATATACTATATTAAACTTTGAAAATAGAAGGGCCCGTTCCCCCATTTTACTGGTGCGACAACAACAAGAGGTCCAAAATCATCACTTCGTGGACAGACAACAATCCAGGAAGAAGATTCGCGAGATGTGTAGATTATAGTCTAAATATTTAATTTAATAGCAAATTCTGGATTTATTAAACTGAAAAATGTTGATTATGATTAAGTTTATGCAAACAAAATTGTAGGAACATGGTTGTCATTTTTGGGTAAATTTTTGGGTTTAGATCAATCCACCTATGTGTGAAAGGTCAACCGAAGTGATTCCGAGCCTTTTGGGAAGAATTAATCAATTGAGGAAACGCTTGAATCTGTTGTGGGGTCAAATGAAGAAGATATGATAGGGCGACTCAAAGAGAAAAATGTTCAAATGAAAATTGAGATTGCAAATCTTAGAAATCAGTTGAACATGCTCTTGTTGTTTGTGATATTGGTGTTGTACGCTGTGATTTGTTGGGCTACTGGTGAAGGTGGCAACCAGCTTGCAATTGATGGAGGTTTCTGAAATGTGTAGCTTGATTAGGTTCAAGTATAGTAGATGATATGTTAAATCATGTACTGGTTTGAAGGTGATAACTATGTAATCTTTTGTTGTTCCTTTTGTTTCTTCAATCTAAGTTCTAATCTTTCAATAATCCGTGTTTTTCTTTCTTTTTTTTTTTTTTCCTTCTGTAGGTAAAGATGATAACCATGTAATTAATAACAACCATTTAGAATTTATGATTAACTTAAAAAGAAAATGAGTCATTATGGGAATAATTTGTAGAACTTGGAGAAGGAGCAGATAAAGCTATAAAAGGAACAAACGATGGTAAACCTACAGCCGAAGATAGGGGTGCAACACTCGGTTCAGGAAGAGGTCTGTGCTTCAGTCGATTCTGTAGTTCTTCCAGAAATACAATTGCAAGTACTTGAAACGTTTTCGGTGTTTACCCCATTCTCAATTATTCCTGAATTAAAAGAGAAAAAACTAACTATAGCAGCAGCATAGATAAAAGAATAAAATTCAGAAACAAAACCAAAAAACACCACTAGATCATCATTATCCCCAGCACAAACCTAGAAGTTGCTATTAAACAACAATACTCCAGCGGAATCACAAGCCCATGACAGAACATAAGAAAGAAAAGATTGAATTTTTCAATTTCGTCCCATAGAATAAACTCATACGCATAAATTGAATATAAAAATCTTAATTCGAAAAAAAATAAAAGGAATCTGTAGACGAACCTCAACCTGTATCAAACTCTTAATTGACTATGAAGACAAGAAAAAACTCTGAACTTTTTCTGCCGCAACTTCGGAGTGTGGGCTTTGCCGGTTGCTAACCAATCACCTTTTTCTTTCCCTTATTGGTATAGAGATTTAAACTTTACTTTGCGTGGAAGTATAGATAGAGAACCTCACAAAAGAAGTAAATAAATTATTCTAGTCTTTCTAAAGTAATCGGTTTAAAGATTTCTCACAAAGATAAGTAGAGAAAAGTAACAAAGTAAGTGAAATCCACCATCATTAGTGGCCAATAGGCCGGCGGATAGCACTACTCTGGCAAATCAGTGAATGACCGGACAAAAAGGATAAATTTTGGATTAATTCATCGGTGGGGGAAGAGGGGGAGCACCGACGATGGAGGAGAAACTAAAAAAGGTAAAGTGATTTTTGAAAGATCAAAATAATCAACCAAAACCATATTAAAAATTAGAAAACTAAAAAAAATAAAAAGGGAACATCAGAATTGGTGGGAGCCAGCCAAATAATTGGAAAACCCGGGTCGACCCGGTTCCAACCGATTCCCGGTTCGATCGGAGTCTTGACCGAATTTGACCGAGTTTTAAATTTGCGATTTTGCATACTGCTTGGACCGACTATTGGTCCAAATCCCGGTTCGACCAGCCAATCCGAGCCGAGTCCTACGCCTTCAAGTGAATCATCATCTCCATCGACTACTTCAACTATTTCCTTTTCATGGATCATCATATTTTTGGTACTTGGACAATCAGAAGCAATATGTCCTTTTTCCAAACATTTAAAACAAGTAATCTGTTTGGAAGTGTTATTAGAAGGACAAAAATTATCAACTTTAGAGACATTACCCTTACATAAATTTGCCTCCTTTTTGCTCTCAGCCTTGCCCTTCCAAGAAGAACCAACATCACTCCTCTTTCGGCCATAGGGATTTCCCTTTAATTGTCTTGCAACTTTCTCCGCCATTTTGACCAAATCTTCTAGAACCACATAGGGATGAAGATCACCAACTTTTGCAAATTCCGGATTTAGCCCATTCATAAACCTTGAGGTGGTTGCTTCTCGAGGCTCTTCTACATTGGCTCTTATCATGGCTAGTTCCATCTCTTTGAAATAGTCATCCATAGTGTCAGACCCTTAAGACATGCATTGAAGTTGCCTCCATAGATCTTGCTGATAATGAGATGGCACAAAGCACTTCCTTAAGATTGCCTTCATCTCTCGCCAAGTAGTGATCGGATCTTCACCGTTCCTTTGGTTGGATTCGAGCAATCGATGCCATCATGTTAATGCATAACCTTTAAATTCAATAGCTGCTAAGGTTACCTTTTTCTCCTCGGTGTAGTGGTGGAAAGCAAAGATTCTTTCTACGCTTTTCTCCCAATCTAGGTAGGCTTCGGGATCACTTTTCCCATAAAATATGGGTGCCTTAAATTTTATGCCATTCAAATTCCCATCAACCTTTTCTCCATGTGCATCTTCGGTTATATGGCTACCACCAACTTGATGTTGTGTGTCTTTTTGTTGATAGAGTTGCAATTGTGCCAGTATGTATCTCATGCCCTCTTTTAATAAGGCAAGATCATCTTCTGGGGATGAATTGGATTCTTTGGTGGTACTCAGAGAACTTCCAGAGACACCCTCACCTTTGACTCCCTCGATCCAAG